ATTCCCACGACCCCCTCCGCCCCCCCCCCCCAAAGCTTTCTCTCTGTCTCTCTTCAAAGCTTCTCTCTCCGAACAGATGGGCGACCTCCAGCTGTGTAAAATGGACGAGCTGGACTGCCTTATCAAGGGGGTTCTCTACATTGATTCGGTGGGCTTCAACGGACACTCGGAGTGCTACTATTTTGAGGACCCCACGGATCCCGAGAAATGCCAGAAGGTCCCTTTCAACTTGGAGGACCCTTACCCTCTCCTGCTGGTCAACATCGGCTCCGGAGTCAGCATCCTGGCCGTCTATTCCGAAGGCAACTACAAGCGAGTGACTGGCACCAGGTGAGGGCCCGGTCCGGAGGCTAGTTGTGCCCCTGGGGGCGGGGGGGGGGCGTGTTTCCACGTCGGACCCAGAGGCTTTCAATTCTCGAGTTACGAGCACAGCTGAGCCCGCTATTCGCGAAGTGAAATGTTTGTTCCAGTGGTGTTTGCCCCGCTTTACGACTTGTTTTTTTTTTAGAAAGTTTGGTTTTTAGTTTTTCTCTTTCAAATTGATTCACAAATATAAGACTCTTATAATTACTTTTAACGTTTATCGATTCGCCATTAATCTTTTATCATTATTTTCTTACAAATATATAGAATACAGTTTGGGTCACTTTCTTGCCACCCCATGAATCCCATCTTATTTCGCAACAACCTGGCTCCTTCCACCTTCTCAACCTCCCTTCTCTGCTTTCTTCTTTCCTCCTCTCCTTCCTCCCTTCTTCCCCTCTCTCCCTCCCCTTCTCCTCTCTTCTCCTTCTTCTTCCCCTCTCTCCTACTCTTAATTCCCCTCCCTTACTTCCTCTGCTTTGACCTTTTCTTCCTTTCCCTCCTCATCCTACCTCCTCCTCCTCCCTTCTCCGCTTTTTTCTTTCCTCCTCTCCTTCCTCCCTTCTTCCCCTCTCTTCCCCCCTCCTCCCTTCTCTGCTTTCTTACTCTCTCTCCTTCTCATGATTGATCATGTCTTCTTTGCCAGCCTCGGAGGAGGGACCTTTTTCGGCCTCTGCTGCCTCCTGACCGGCTGCTCCACCTTCGAAGAAGCTCTCGAAATGGCCTCCCGGGGAGACAGCACGAAAGTGGACAAACTCGTGCGGGATATTTACGGAGGGGACTACGAGCGCTTTGGCCTGCCAGGTTGGACCATAGCATCCAGGTAAGGCCACCCGGAGATGGTTTCCGCTGAGGGCGTTAACACAACCCAGACACCCCCCCACCCACCCTCGTCTGTCGTCAGGCTGGGATCCTCACAAGTCAAGGTTGTGTGGCTGGCTTAGTAAATCCACCCGTGACCTGACAAAAGCGCGCCGACAAAACCGCGTCGCTAAAACCGCGATGTCATCACCACAGCGACAACAGCGCGGCGACAGAAGGGCGCTTTACAACAGCGCGGCGACAGAAAGCCGATTTAAGTTAAGGTTAGGGTTAGGGTTAGGGTTAGGTTAGGTTTAGGGTTAAGGTTAGGTTTAGGGTTAGGGTTAGCTTTTGAATGCTAGTAAAAGCATTTTGCTGAGTGCTTTGGAGGGCGCGGATTTGCCCTCCGCGGTTATGTCGGCGCGCTAGGGTTGCCTTTTCCCTTAGCGCTTTGGACGGCGCGGATTTGCCCTCCGCGGTTATGTCGGCGCGTAAAAGGGCTTCGCAGTTTTGTCGGTGAACCAATCCACCTGGGGTGGCAGAGAGCAGGGGTCCCCCAACCCATCCAGGCCGCGGACTGGTACCAGTCTGGAGCTGGTTAGGAACCAGGCCCCACACTTGGAGGTGAGCGGTGGGTGAGCAAGTGAAGCTTCATCTACGCACGAGTGCCTGCGAAAACACCCCACACACACACACACCAGTCTGTGTAAAAATTATGTTCCACGAAACTGATCCCTGGTGCCAAAAAGTGTGGACTGCTGGCATAGAGTCCCAAAGGTGCTTTTTCAGGAGCCAATTGGTCTTTCTGGTTATTCTATTCTATTCCATTCGATTCCCTATTCTGTTCTGTTCTATTCTATTCCATATTCCATTAATTATTTTATTCCATTCTATTCTATACCCATTCCATTCTATTCTATCCTACATTCTATTCTATTCCCCATTCCATTCCGTATTCTATTCTGTTCTATTCTATTCTATTCCATATTCCATTATTTTATTCCATTCTATTCTATTCCCATTCCATTCTATTCTATTCTATTCCNTCAGGCAGAAGACATCAAAGTATAGCCAGCCGAACAAACAGGTTTAAAGATAGTTTCTATCCTTGGTCTGTGAGACTTTTCAATACAACCACAATCATTCCATGCACACGCTATTTTTTTTTCTTTCTTTTTTCGTTTCTGCTATAATTTTGCTCCAGTGACGTTAAAACCAATTTGTACAATGACAATAAAGGTTATACTTACACTTATTATGCTAAATTGATTCAGCAAATTAAACTTGACTTGGAAAAGTGGAAAAACCTGCAGCTATCACTAATAGGAAAAATAGCCACCATTAAAATGAATAATCTACCGAGATTACTATACCTGTTCCAAACAATTCCAATAAAGCTGGAAAAGAAATATTTCAAGGAATTAAACAGATTAATATCAAAATTTACCTGGCAATTTTAAAAAAGCATGAATAAGTCGGAAACTGTTGCAAGACTCTAGTAATAGAGGAGGCTTTGGGTCTCCAGATTGGGAGTTCTATTACCAGGTATCTGCACTTATGTGGCTAAAAGAATGGATAACTTTTGAGACATAAACAATTATTAATTTTGGAGGGACACGATTTGCAACTGGGGTGGCATGCCTTTCTATGGTATGGAAAAAATAAATATTTCCAAGGACACTACGTTAGAAATGCTCTGTTTTCAGTATGGGCAAAAATTTGCGAACCAGTAGGGAAAGTAAGTTGTTGGAAAAGTGTGAAACCAAGTTTGATAAATACCAGTTAGTCCTTGATTTGCAACAGTTCACCTAGTGACAGTTCAAAATTACAACGGCACTGGAAAAAATGACTTAATGGCCATTTTTCACACTTACGACCATTGCAACATCCCCATGGTTCCGTGATTTATTCGGATGATTGACAGCCGACTCATCTTTATGACGGTTGCAGTGTCCCGGGGTCATGTGATTCCCTTCGTGACCTGACAAGGGAAGTCAATGGGAAAACCAGATTCTTTTAACAACGGTGTAGTAATATAACAACTGCAGTGATTCACTTATTAAATGTGGCAAGAAAAGTGATAAAAAAATGAGGCAAAACTCACTTAACAAATTTCTCACTCAGCAACATATAAATTTTGGGCTCAGTTGTGGTCCTAAGTTGAGGACTAACTGTACCTTGCAAGATTTTTAGTTGGTCGCTATACTGGTGCAATTAAGGAAAACAAGTAAGGTAATTAACAGGTATGGTGGTTATGCACCTAGGTAATTAACCATACTTGACATGTGAAAATCTTCACTTACCTAGAGGTATTCTTGGCTTCCAACCATTCATTTAGCAACCGGTCAAAGTTAATGGCACTGCAAAAAAAAATCAGTTTTACAATCAGTCCTTGCACTTAACGACCATCCTAGCTTGTCTATAGAGGGTCACACAACCAAAAATTGAATGTTTGGCAACCCACCTGTACTGCAATTTGATAGTTAAGTGAAGCAGCAGTCGCTAAGTGAAGCAGCAAGTATCCTTAAAATAGGACTTCGGGTTTTCTTTCCTTCGCAGATATCAATGCAAGACAGGTTGTAAAAGTTACTTTTTCTTCACCACCTGCAACAGGCTCCATGAGGTCTGTTTGTATAGTTTCCCCTTATTTCTTCCATTTGTACGCTGAATGTATATTAATGGGAGCTGGATTAGAAGATGGACATAAGTTTAAAATTGGAGAAAGAAATAGTAGTAATGCTGATGACGTGTGTGTGTGTGTAATGTATGTATATATGTATATGTATTTGAATGGATAGATATAGAGAAAGAATAGAGATAGATGATAGAAAGATAGAGATAGATAGATAGATAGATAGATAGATAGATAGATAGATAGATAGATAGATAGATAGATAGATAGATAGATGAGATAGAATAGAGAGATGATGGATGGATAGATAGATATAAAGAAAGAATAGAGATGATAGAAAGATATAGATAGATGAGATAGAATAGAGATGATAGATGGATGGATAGATAGATATAAAGAAAGAATAGAGATGATAGAAAGATAGATAGATGAGANATTCTATTCTATTCCATATTCCATTAATTATTTTATTCCACTCCATTCTATTCTATTCCATATTCCATTAATTATTTTATTCCATTCCGTTCTGTTCTGTTCTATTCTCTTCTCTTCCCATTCCATTCTAAAACCTGCCTGTCTCCCCTTCTTCCATCCAGCTTTGGAAACATGATGAGCAAAGAGAAACGAGAGGCGGCCAGTAAGGAGGACTTGGCCCGGGCAGCCTTGATCACCATCACCAACAACATCGGCTCCATCGCACGCATGTGCGCGCTGAATGAGGTACAGCCTATTTGGAGCTCAGGGTTGAAATGCGAGGTCCTCGGCGCTCCCTGAGCTTGGTGGTTTTCTCGTGGACGTTTCATGACCCAACTAGGGAACATCATCAGTGCCAGAAGGGAATGGGGTTTATAGGGAGGAGGACTGTGGGGTCCTTGGTGTTTCCTGAGCTTGGTTGCTTTCTTGCAGACCTTTCTTGACCCAACTAGGTAACATCATCAGTGCTAGAAGGAAGAGGGGTTTAATAGGGAAGTTTATAGGAACTTACCTTGTGCACTCCTTGGCCGTGGCTCTGCGGACTAGCATTGGTCTGCTTGTGGCTGGACTTCATTGGAATAGTTCTGGGGTTTGGAAGAAGGGAGTTGGGGAGTGTGTATGTGTGTGTGAGAGAGAGAGAGACAAAGAGAGAACGGGACAACACAACTCCCTGAAAAGCCGGAAGTCCCTGCACCTGTTTCCACCGTGGGAATGAAGCTGGGTGCTTCCAGCTTCTTTACAGTGCTGCCTTGTTGCGACCATGTCAAGCAGCATTGTACAGGGCTATGAAAGACCCCAAGCACGTCTTCGGCGGCGGCGGCCCTGGGCTCACGTGATTCCCCTTTTGCGACTCTCTGTAGGTCAGTGAGCCTGTGGGCTAATGTGGAGAATCAAAACCCCAAATCTGAGCAGAGGGTCGGACTAGAAGACCTCCTTCCAACTCTTCTATTATTCTGAAAAGAAATAACAACTTCTCGATCGATTGTGTGCCCTCAAATCCGCGCCGACCGTTAATAACCCCCTGCGCAGATTTCCTCCAGGTTGGATCTGACCTCATGTAGGCGCTTCAGGTCTCCCACCTGCCCACCCATCTCCATCGAATCCATTCGTCTGGCTGCTGCTTCTCTTTGATCTAAATCAGGGGTCGGCAACCTTAAACCCTCGGAAGAGCCGTTTGGACCCGTTTCCCACAGAAAAGAAAACGCCGGGAGCCGCAAAGCCCTTCCCGCGCCTGACTGTTTCCTGAGTGGACACAAAACTGGCATATTATGTAGTTGAATTCAATGTTCTGTTTTCTTCTGAAACTTTCCTTTTCTTGGATTTATTCACGGTTGGCCCACCGGGGGTTGAAAAGCTCAATTAATCGCCTGCCGGGCAGTTGTGATACGTATTTTGAGCGACAGGGAGCCGCAGCAGGGGGATGGAAGAGCCACATGCAGCTCCGGAGCCGTCTTAATTTATTCTTCCTTAGCATCGGCTTCTAATATTATTTTTTTCTCTCTCAACCCCCCCCCCCCCCCCAGAACATTAATAAAGTGGTTTTTGTGGGGAACTTTTTGAGAATCAACACAATCTCCATGAAGTTTCTGGCCTACGCTTTGGACTACTGGTCAAAGGGACAACTGAAGGCTCTTTTTCTGGAACATGAGGTAAAAAGTTACGCTGTGGGTCGGAGTTTGTGTTGTCTTCCCTTTTCCCTTTAAAAAAAAACACCCCTTGATTAGTTTCCACCCATTGCTTCTTGTCCTGCCTTCAGGTGTCTTGGAGAATAGCTTGACTCCCTCTTCTTTGTGGCAACCCCAGAGATATCGGAACACTGCTATCCTGTCTCCCCTCGTCCTTCTTTCTATTAAACTAGACGTACCCAGTTCCCGCAACCGTTCTTCATATGTTTTAGCCTCCAGTCCCTTCATCCTCTTCGTTGCTCTTCTCTGCACTCTTTCCAGAGTCTCCACATCTTTTCTACATCG